GCTGATTACAGAACCGGCTTTACTGATAAGATGCGCGTTAAATATCGCATGCGATTAATCGTGCAGCCCTAGTTTAAACACAGATATCAACGTGTGCTGTTCCGGTCTCACCTGTGCGCACGCGCTTTCAGCACCCGGGTGATGACGGAATAAATGACTGCTCATATTCCAGCATACGTTACGGCATTCGCATTGAACAAGAGTGAATGGTTTGTCCACGTTTTTTTTTTTTCATCGCTGTTGTTGTAATGTACTAGGAAGCCAGAATGCACATCCATCAACAGAAACATACATTAGCCGAACCCTGTTTGTTTTACGTGTTATTTATAGCAAACCATATTACAGATGCGTTGTCAGATTTAAGTTGAACCGCGGTCCTAGCGCGTGCCAAACCGTGTGTGGAGAACCGTACGGTTCGTTTTTTTTTTCGCAAACCGTTCCACCCCTAATATTTATAATGAAATATTCTATTGTAATTTAAAATAAAACCATATGTATAGTTTGTTTTATTTTCTTTTTAATAGTATTTCAGCAAATATATGTACAGTAAAAATTAAAATGTGTATGAGTGACACAATGAGCTGTTACAAATATGCAAAAAAATTCCAAACACTCGCGCTATCAGCACCCGGGTGATGACGGAATAAATGCTCATATTCCAGCATACGGCAGTTGCATTGAACAAGAGTGAATGGTTTGTCCACGTTTTTTTTTTTCATCGCTGTTGTTGTAATCTAGTGGGAAGCCAGAATGCGCATCCATCAACAGAAACATACAATAACCGAACCCTGTTTGATTTACGTGTTATTTATAACAAACCATATTACAGATGCATTGTCAGATGTAAGTTGAACCGCGGTGCTAGTGCGTGCCGAACCGTGTGTGGAGAACCAGAGCTGGCGTTGTGCCCAAGTCTGACCCCCGCCAGATTATTAGGGGCAGGGTTAGGATTAGGCAATCAGGTAGTGATTTCAACGAGGGGGGTAATAATTTGCCAGGGGGTCGAAAATGGGCACAACACCGGTGCCAGCACAGCACTGATGAGGGGGCGGCTGAGGTAACGAAAGGGGGCGATGACGTAGCAAAAAGTAAAAAAAAACAAACATCTGTGGCCCATTCACGTATTTGTCGGACCGTAAACAAACCTGCCCGCTACTACTACAACTATTAGAATACAGGGTTCACATAGATAGTGTTTTGGTCACGAGACAGGTCAGTGGAAGTTTTTTTTTTTAACCGCAAGGTCTAGAGACTAGAGGTCAACCGATAGTGGATTTTGCCGATACCGATAGCTAGGTTGGACCACACTTGCCGATACCGATTAATTAACCGATAGTTTTAAAAGTGATACTGAACAAAAACTAAAATAGTGCTTTAACAAAAACAGTACTGAACCATACTAGTAGTAGTAGTAAAAATAATAATAATAATAATAGTAATAGTAAATGTTGAAATTAACACACTCTAACAAGGAACAATACTTTCACAGCTTTCATTAATCTTAATGCTACAAATGGACTCTTATTTTAAAGTGTTACCATTTCATTTCAACTGTCATGCTTAAAGATGCACATCTTTAAATATATACACAAAGGCTATAGCATTAAAATATGTACATATGGATATTGTATGTATACTCTCACACTTTAACTTCTTCTATTCTTGAACACTTGATGATTATCTATAATCAAAATAAAAGTGCAGCGCTGAGTCTAGAACTCACCGGTATCACACACACTCCGGACGAGTCACGATCAACTCGAGCAGCGGTCTAAAACAGTTTATTTAAATCACCAAACGGACACAAGTTTACTTCAAGAATGAACAATTTGGCATGGATGAGTTTGAAGTTCGGTGTTTAAAAAACGGAGCAAACGGAAAGAGAAAGCGCGACCTATATTATAGCTCTATAAATGAAGCACACAAGACTTTATTCGAGTCACAGAAAGACAAACGTTTTGCTGAAAATGCACAATACACAATTCATTATGTACATTAACAACGATTCGGGACCAATAAAATGTAATTTAAAGGAAAACTATGTGAATGGCGCTCTGTGGCGCGGCAGGATTTTCTGTCGGCTGCATTTAAATCCACGCCTTTAGTTTCCCGCTCTGTTCAGCGTGCAGTATCATGTGTCTAAACAAATAGAACGTGCTGTCAGTGATTTCAACCACTAGAGGCCGCTCTCGCACTGTGTAATGACAGCAGACCCTTCTCAGCCGCTCTAGCAATGGACACAACCCGGAAAACTATCGGCATGGATTTTTGTCGATAACCGATAATTCCAGCAATCAACTATCGGTGCCGATTAATCAGCAAAACCGATACATCGGTCGACCTCTACTAGAGACGTGTTTTTAGAAGCTGAATTTCTTTGAACTTAAGTGCCGTGTTTTAGAATGATGTGTTATGCGCGAGAAGCTGCTATAAAGACCTGAGACGAGCGCAGCATTCAAACACAAATTCAAAGACATCCGTAGCGCATTTAGTTCGAAATACAATGGAAAAGTACCGCAGTGGAATGCGTTCTGAGTGAATGACCCTACTAAAAGGAACTTAGCAAATACAGATGGCAGAGTAGCCATTGAATAAAACAAAATCGCATAGGCAACAAATTCGGAAATATGACATCCAGGAAATAATATGTCTTAGGCAGCAGATTTACCAAGTCATACCACCATAACCACCAGCAATACTTAATTGTGTCTGCTTTACAATGAAACACAAGCTTATTGCGACTGATTCCCTGACATAACACATTCATTGCGACCCATTTAACAGATGCATCATTTTAAGTTAGAACAACTTGAAAAGCAACAAACAATAACAATACAGTGAAATAATCAACTAAGTACGATCATCTAGCCCTCTATTAAATAATAAAGAATTATTTCATCATACCTTTAGCTTACTCAGTAGTGCTGCATTCTTAGTTGAAACGCTTGCATGGAAAGTTTGTGTGTCAGATGTAACAATTAAAATGAAATAAAATTTCACAAATAAAATCTATTTTCACACTCATCTTGAGTGAGGGGGCGGGATAGTCCGAGTGAGACGCCCCCCGTGGCGCCGGCCCTGGATATGATTACACTGTTTTGCGCCAGTTAAGGCTTTGAAATAACGGTGAAGAAAAAAATCAATTTCCACATAGACTAATCTATTTATATGAATATAGTGTGTATTTCATAATGATTGTATAACATAATACATCTGCCATGTGGTTGCAAAGCAAATGAAGTTGTTGCTTTGCTCTGCTGAAATGGTATCAGGCATTTCAGAGATTTCAGAGATTAGCTCCATATTTTTTAATCATATTTATCAATTCACAGTGATTTGGAGGAGGGAGACTTACTTGAAGAAGATTGGCTGTCATCAAAAAAGGTAAACAAGTGATTTCCATCGTTGCCAATTTCTTTCCCCTCTGCTTAAACTTATTTTTATAGCTGTTGTTCTTTCAGTTGCTGCCTTTTTCAATGTTTTTTTAGGCAATCTTAACTGATAGGAATACATAAATTGTTGTTCAGGTGTACTTAATATTCAAGACTTACAAGGCCAACAACATGTGTAACAATCTCACCAAAATATCAAGTGTATTAAGCAGAAGATTTTTAATTTCTTTTTTTGTCCACCCCAGAACCCCTCAGAGATGTCAGATGAAGAGCTAAATGATGACCTCTTACAAAGTGATGAAGAGGACCAAAACGCAAGGTACCCTAACAAAAACCTACAAATAAAACCCTAGGCATTTCAAAATCTCTAAGTGATCTTATATTGCTGTTTTTGGTCACTTCTTTGCCTGAAAAACATAAGCTGTTGGATCGTTTAGACGAGAGACATGAGTGAAAATTCATTACTAAGATATGTTTTCAGTTGTTGTATACAGAATTGGGTTTCCAGATAGACTTTTGCTGTTGTTTTAAATGTTGTTGTTTTTTTTGTCTTTGAGTACAAGACAGTAAGTAATGTTGTGTCTTTTAATGTAACCTATTTTGTGCTTGTGGTTATATTGCTTGGTTTGCTTGTTTTGTATACAAGTACTTTTATGTTACTGTTTTATGAGCACTGACTGAAAGTGCAATATGAAGAAAATTTAATTGCTATTAGTAACTGCCAAATTGCAAGACATGTCTGATCACATTATGGTGACGCCTTTGATTTGCCCTGGCAATATGTAGATTAAAAAGATTTGTTTTAGAAGACCGATATGACACTCATATCAGTGTACACGTTCAAAATGGTCTTTTCTTTTGGGTTAATTGTCAAATGATTTTAAGTTAGAACAACTTGAAAAGCAACAAACAATAACAATACAGCGAAATAACCAACTAACTACAATCATCTAGCCATCTATTAAACATTAAAGAATTATTTCATCATACCTTTAGCTTACTCAGTAGTGCTGCATTCTTAGTTGAACCGCTTGCGGAAAGTTTGTGTGTCAGATGTAACAATTAAAATGCGACTTTGTGAAACGGACTGTCCTAAGTTGTTGCTATAGTAGCATCATATTAATGCTAGAAAGCCTATGCATTTTGGTTTATTTAAATACACCATTATATTTCATAAATAAAATCTATTTTCACACTCATCTTGAGTGAGGGGGCGGGATAGTCCGAGTGAGACGCCCCCCGTGGCGCCGGCCCTGGATATGATTACACTGTTTTGCGCCAGTTAAGGCTTTGAAATAACGGTGAAGAAAAAAATCAATTTCCACATAGACTAATCTATTTATATGAATATAGTGTGTATTTCATAATGATTGTATAACATAATACATCAAAATTGTGTAATAAACGTATTGGCTATCAAATGTGTGTAAATCAAGTCTTTGCTCATAATAGGCAGGAGGGGCAATATTATTAGTCTAAAACTGGAAAGTGGCTGAGTTTAACAGGGCAGAGGACCGTGAATTTACAAGATTCGAACCGCTTCCTGAACCAGTCTGGCCAAGCGAGGCTTCGGACGTCATCAATGACATTATTCTTAGTTGAACCGCTTGCGCAGAAAGTTTGTGTGTCAGATGTAACAATTCAAATGCGACTTTGTGAAACGGACTATCATAAGTAGCATCATATTAATGCTAGAAAGCCTATGCATTTGGAAACTCTATTTTTTTTTTAAACAAACCATTATATTTCATAAATAAAATCTATTTTCACACTCATCTTGAGTGAGGGGGCGGGATAGTCCGAGTGAGACGCCCCCCGTGGCGCCGGCCCTGGATATGATTACACTGTTTTGCGCCAGTTAAGGCTTTGAAATAACGGTGAAGAAAAAAATCAATTTCCACATAGACTAATCTATTTATATGAATATAGTGTGTATTTCATAATGATTGTATAACATAATACATCAAAATTGTGTAAGTGAAAGCTCTTTAATCATATTTATCAATTCACAGTGATTTGGAGGAGGGAGACTTACTTGAAGAAGATTGAAGATTGTCAAAAAAGGTAAACAAGTGATTTCCATCGTTGCCAATTTCTTTCCCCTCTGCTTAAACTTATTTTTATAGCTGTTGTTCTTTCAGTTGCTGCCTTTTTCAATGTTTTTTTAGGCAATCTTAACTGATAGGAATACATAAATTGTTGTTCAGGTGTACTTAATATTCAAGACTTACAAGGCCAACAACATGTGTAACAATCTCACCAAACTCACCAAAGTATTAAGCAGAAGATTTTTAATTTCTTTTTTCGTCCACCCCAGAACCCCTCAGAGATGTCAGAGATGTCAGTAAATGATGACCTCTTACAAAGTGATGAAGAGGACCAAAACGCAAGGTACCCTAACAAAAACCTACAAATAAAACCCTAGGCATTTCAAAATCTCTAAGTGATCTTATATTGCTGTTTTTGGTCACTTCTTTGCCTGAAAAACATAAGCTGTTGGATCGTTTAGACGAGAGACATGAGTGAAAATTCATTACTAAGATATGTTTTCAGTTGTTGTATACAGAATTGGGTTTCCAGATAGACTTTTGCTGTTGTTTTAAATGTTGTTGTTTTTTTTGTCTTTGAGTACAAGACAGTAAGTAATGTTGTGTCTTTTAATGTAACCTATTTTGTGCTTGTGGTTATATTGCTTGGTTTGCTTGTTTTGTATACAAGTACTTTTATGTTACTGTTTTATGAGCACTGACTGAAAGTGCAATATGAAGAAAATTTAATTGCTATTAGTAACTGCCAAATTGCAAGACATGTCTGATCACATTATGGTGACGCCTTTGATTTGCCCTGGCAATATGTAGATTAAAAAGATTTGTTTTAGAAGACCGATATGACACTCATATCAGTGTACACGTTCAAAATGGTCTTTTCTTTTGGGTTAATTGTCAAATGACTAATTGCGGATCTTCTAAAATTACAAAATTATAATTGGTTTAAGCTACTGCTTGCTAAATCTAAAGATGAGATGCTTTTTATGTTTATGAGTTCCAAAATAGTCTGCAGTATCCCAGAATAGCCTATATTAAAAGTATTTTCCCCTTTTTACTTTTTTATTATTGTTGCATAGAAGAACGTATGCTTAAAATGAATATAAAATAAAGAATTACCTAAACTGTTAAACTTTTCAATTTGTGGGGTCAAAATTGCCTTCACCCCATAATTTATGCAAAGCTTCAGTGCTCTAAAATCAATAGAGCAGTTCATCCATAACATAATTAGAGATGACATTGAACTAACTTTGACACCTTCTGCCCTAATCAAACGGCTTTCTTTTTTGCAATATAAAAAAAGAGTTTAAAATAGCAATTTTAGGTGACACGCTTCACTTCAGTCTCTAATATAGTTATTGTGGTAACCCAAGGGCAAGCTCAACAAAAATCAACAAATTCATCACTTTATTGTCCAGAGTTTAACACATGTTTGTCTGTTGATGTCTTTGTGTCTAGTGGTCAGGGTGAGGTTGTGAGTTTAAATGCCACACTGGGTCTGGGCACGTCTGGTATTTTCACACTCATCTTGAGTGAGGGGTGACGCCCCCCCGTGGCGCTGGCCCTGTGGAGAACCGTACGGTTCGATTTTTTTCCGCGAACCGTTCCACCACTATTTCATAGCATTCAAAATGTATCAGACCAGCATAGATATAGACTTTATTGTTTGCCATGGGGTGTGGTGTTTTGCAAAGCAAATGAAGTTGTTGCTTTGCTCTGCTGAAATGGTATCAGGCATTTCAGAGATTTATTGTGAAAGCTCCATATTTTTTAATCATATTTATCAATTCACAGTGATTTGGAGGAGGGAGACTTACTTGAAGAAGATTGGCTGTCATCAAAAAAGGTAAACAAGTGATTTCCATCGTTGCCAATTTCTTTCCCCTCTGCTTAAACTTATTTTTATAGCTGTTGTTCTTTCAGTTGCTGCCTTTTTCAATGTTTTTTTAGGCAATCTTAACTGATAGGAATACATAAATTGTTGTTCAGGTGTACTTAATATTCAAGACTTACAAGGCCAACAACATGTGTAACAATCTCACCAAAATATCAAGTGTATTAAGCAGAAGATTTTTAATTTCTTTTTTTGTCCACCCCAGAACCCCTCAGAGATGTCAGATGAAGAGCTAAATGATGACCTCTTACAAAGTGATGAAGAGGACCAAAACGCAAGGTACCCTAACAAAAACCTACAAATAAAACCCTAGGCATTTCAAAATCTCTAAGTGATCTTATATTGCTGTTTTTGGTCACTTCTTTGCCTGAAAAACATAAGCTGTTGGATCGTTTAGACGAGAGACATGAGTGAAAATTCATTACTAAGATATGTTTTCAGTTGTTGTATACAGAATTGGGTTTCCAGATAGACTTTTGCTGTTGTTTTAAATGTTGTTGTTTTTTTTGTCTTTGAGTACAAGACAGTAAGTAATGTTGTGTCTTTTAATGTAACCTATTTTGTGCTTGTGGTTATATTGCTTGGTTTGCTTGTTTTGTATACAAGTACTTTTATGTTACTGTTTTATGAGCACTGACTGAAAGTGCAATATGAAGAAAATTTAATTGCTATTAGTAACTGCCAAATTGCAAGACATGTCTGATCACATTATGGTGACGCCTTTGATTTGCCCTGGCAATATGTAGATTAAAAAGATTTGTTTTAGAAGACCGATATGACACTCATATCAGTGTACACGTTCAAAATGGTCTTTTCTTTTGGGTTAATTGTCAAATGACTAATTGCGGATCTTCTAAAATTACAAAATTATAATTGGTTTAAGCTACTGCTTGCTAAATCTAAAGATGAGATGCTTTTTATGTTTATGAGTTCCAAAATAGTCTGCAGTATCCCAGAATAGCCTATATTAAAAGTATTTTCCCCTTTTTACTTTTTTATTATTGTTGCATAGAAGAACGTATGCTTAAAATGAATATAAAATAAAGAATTACCTAAACTGTTAAACTTTTCAATTTGTGGGGTCAAAATTGCCTTCACCCCATAATTTATGCAAAGCTTCAGTGCTCTAAAATCAATAGAGCAGTTCATCCATAACATAATTAGAGATGACATTGAACTAACTTTGACACCTTCTGCCCTAATCAAACGGCTTTCTTTTTTGCAATATAAAAAAAGAGTTTAAAATAGCAATTTTAGGTGACACGCTTCACTTCAGTCTCTAATATAGTTATTGTGGTAACCCAAGGGCAAGCTCAACAAAAATCAACAAATTCATCACTTTATTGTCCAGAGTTTAACACATGTTTGTCTGTTGATGTCTTTGTGTCTAGTGGTCAGGGTGAGGTTGTGAGTTTAAATGCCACACTGGGTCTGGGCACGTCTGGTCACCTTCAAGATGAAGACCCTGATGGAGGTGGATATACTGAATACGCCTATGAAGAGACAGAGGGCGGCCAACCGGGTTTCTCTCAGGGTGGGGAGTATGAAGGAAATGAGTACCAAGGAGAAGATGGAGTGGTGGAATACACAGGAGACCAGAACTGTGAAGAATATCAAGATGAAGTGCTGGAACTACAGATCGACGAGCCACTGGATGATGACTTTCAAGTAAGTAACGCTTTCTCTTGCTATCTCTATTGCTTACACACACTCTCCATAATCCCCCACCACATTTCCTCCACGTCTGCAGCCTGACACCTCATGCTTTGTGACCCTCAGGCCTCAAGGTTTTGTTCAGGGCGAGACTCTTTTCGCAGTCTTTGTTCAGCAAATGTCCTGCCAATCCATGCCGGCTAAAGGGAAGAGCTCTCAGACAGGATCTGATAAAGTTGGCTGTAGGTGAAAAGATTATTGACCTTCTTGAAAGTAGTCTTTAGCAAGCATGACACAGGCTCATGATGGATGAGTTGTGTGCTTCCTGTACATGTTTATTTATTTATTTGCTTAGAACTTAAAAGCACACAGGTCACCCAAAAATGAGAATTTGAGACCCAAATCATTCAGGTCAATTTTGTGAACTAATTAATTGAAAATATCCTACTAAAAATGACTATTAATTTATAAATCAGACATCAGACAGACAGTCTTAGGTCAGATGCAGGTTTTTTTTTTATTTTTTTTTTTTTACAGGAATTTTCTACAATGACTACTTCTATTCCCAGCTCTATGCTAATAAGAGGCATATTCAAAATTCCTTAAAGTGTGATTGTGTCAACAGTCATGGGAAGGTATTTTTTTGTATATATAAAGGTGATAAACTACCTTTGCCAGCTGTTTGAAGAATATTTTCATTGCTTAAACTCTGCTTGAAATTCTCTGCTGAAGTTCTGTTGTTTGAGCATATGATGTCTCTTTTTCTACAAGGTCGCTTACCTGCTGAGGCTTAGCATCTTTGTGTTTACAGTTATCCAGAGTTAATGTGTGGAACGGTTTAAAGGATTAACTATTTGCCCTGTAGGTGGTCAGTTCCTGTGCTGTGTGCAGGAAACATGTCATAGTCATTTAGGTCTGTCCGACTTGGTGTTATGCTTGGTATACAGTTCTTAGCACATGAGACCATGATCACAAAAATAATCTTCTATTTATTCAATAATCTTACATTCATCACCAATGTCAAAACACAAATGTTTTGACTCAAGGCCTTCTTCAGTGTGTTGAACAGTTCAGTCCCTCCACCCACTTTTTTAAATCATTAATTCCAATGATGTCATCATTCATTAGCCAATGTTCAGTCTAGGCCTGTGCAAATAATCGAATGTGATTTTCATGCGCATCTCGTCAGTAAAGCCGGTTCTGTGATTAGTAGTAAATCTCCAGCACGTGCTTTCAGATGTAGCGGCATTTACTACACAGAGCCGTAGTTCACTGACAAGTTACGCAAAATCACGTTCATAATCGCATGCGATTCATTGCCGATAATGAGCCTGTGATTATGAACGCGATTTTGAGTAGCTTGTCAGTGAACTACGGCTCTGTGTAGTAAATGCCGCTCCATCTGACAGCACGTGCTGATAATTTCCATTTGTATACAAATCATCACATCCACCTATACACTATATAATATATACCCATGACTAGAACATGAATTATATAGGTCACTGACAAGCTACTCAAAATCGCGTTCATAATCACAGGCTCATTATCGGCAATGAATCGCATGCGATTATGAACGTGATTTTGCGTAACTTGTCAGTGAACTACGGCTCTGTGTAGTAAATGCCGCTCCATCTGAAAGCACGTGCTGATAATTTCCATTTGTATACAAATCATCACATCCACCTATACACTATATAATATATACCCATGACTAGAACATGAATTATATAGGATCCCGTATTTATCCCATAATTATTTATTAATAGGGATAAATATGGGATCCTATATAATTGAAAAAGTGTAAAAAGCTTTTTTCTTGTATGTTTTTGTATTGCATACTGAGTTTTGTTGAAAAATTGAGATTTGTGCTAGAAGTTGAGATTACGAAGCCAAAACTGGCATTTTGATTACATTTCTATTAAATTGAGGCACTACTAATTTGTATATCTACTGGGTCAGATCGATAGTTAGGCAAATTAAAACTAAAGAAAAACGTATGCAACTTAAGCTTCGAAATGACAGACAACGAACAAAAGAGGTAATTTGCAAGAGCTGCATCACAGCGCATATCAAAAGCTCCCTTATCGGTTCTGTTTTCAGTACTGGAGAATAAAAGATACATTCTTAGATGTTTTTGTTAGTACGTGAACGTTATCTTACACATTTTATGTCCCCAACAGATTAATTTGAATTAAGTTTATAATGCATGTTGGCTATTCCCAATTCAGAAGAGCGCACACACAGCCTGTGTCTGTGAATGCTTCTCATACTCGCTCCTCTCTGCCCCACGCGGCGCGAATCCCGCGTCACAGACGAGCCGTTCATGCTTGCCGCACTCACGCAGCCTGTCTCGTAATGCTCGTTTATACTCGCACCCGGCTCCGCACCGCAAGTCTTCACGAGCGCATCTGGCAGTATGGATGAGGCTTGACACACGCGCGCAACCTGTATCGACTCGCCCCTGGCTCCGCGTTTAAAACGAATGTAAATTCAGTCTAACTGCTTGCTAATTTCACTTGGATGAAATGAAACATTCAGCACATTTTCCACTTGTTCTTAAAATCCCAAATACTTCAAATGAGTAAATCAGCCTATGTAACATATGTAATACTTTAATAATTGACTTAAGAAATACAGTTCTTTATTTATAAAAAATAAACAAATATTTTCTGTGAAATTCAGTAATTAAGTTAATTCTGTAAAAGTAGTTATACCATTATAATCTTGCCTGCTGAAAAAACAAAACAAAACAATAGAACCCCTCCCAAAACACAATAAAAATGTTAATGGATTTCAGGGTTATAATGGGAATTGTATTGGTTTTAATGTAAACTATAATGGTGTCTATTTGATGGATTCTATTGGTGGGATGTAATCTGGCAGATGGCAAACAATAGAACAACAGTAATTCCTATTGGAATAATGCCCAAAACAAAAAGGAATTTTGTAATGGTTTAATGGAAACTATAAGAATTTCTGTGATGGTTTCTATTGTTTTTTCAGCAGGGTAATGTTACTCATACTGTGCTGCACATTATTGACAATATTGAGCTGAAGCTTGACTTTGCAAATTTAAAATCGCAAATCAAATCGCAATCGCAATATCTGTTAAAAAAATCGTAATTTGATATTTTCCCCCAAATCGCACAGCCCTAATTTGTATGTGTACTAGTATGCATACAGAAGTATCTTTTTTTTATTATTTATTTTTGTTCAACATTTTATTTCAGAGTTCAAAGACACACAAAATAGTCCAGAGCTTAGAAACTGTTTGGCAAACAGTGGTCATGAAGCATCAGGGTCAGTCACTTTACACAAAGACAGAGAGACTGATAAAATCCTGCAAGAGTCAAGACTCATCAGACTGCTCCCTTTGTTCTGACTTTCATTGACCTTTAATGCAGGACAGATGTCGTTGATCATTCTGCCTGTCCATGTGATCGCTTGATCATCGGTGTCCAGGACAGTGCTGACAGGTGCACGGAGGCCTTGGCCTCACATCACATTTTGCAAGTTTGTCTGTTATGTTTCTGTACATTATAATAAAGGCTTATTCTTACTACTGAGATCTGGATTCACAGTAGCAAAATGACCTGGAGAGTTTTGTAATAGCACACAGCATGCATTTTCTCAAGGATATGACTGGAAAAAAAACAGTGTCTCTTCAAATATAAGGTTGCTTGAGCACTGTTGACTAGGGCTGGGTAAAAAATATCGATATCTCGATTTTAATCGATTCTAATTTTTACGGAACGATATCGATTCTTAAATCCCAAGAATCGATTAGTCTAGCCTGTTTTCAGTTAATGGATGGAACATTGAAGGGCACTTCCCATCCAATATATCGCAATAATCATTGTGCTTTGGTACTTTTAATTTAGATTTCAAATTCTGTCCATTGTATTGCAGTATTTAAACAATAAATGCCATTTTGGCGCTGTTTTAATGTGGAGTGCCAGATTGCTGTAGTGCGGCGCGCCTCAGTTCAATAATAAGCGGCAGCGCGTGGTGCAGAGCGCACGTGAACTGATCATCTCCTCCACATTAATACCAGTTTCAGCACAAAATAATCAGGACTAAACTAGAGCCCGACCAATATATCGTTTTGCTGATATGAGCCTGTCGCCGATATATCGGTATCGGCGAATATGCCGCCGATATGAATTTTTTTTTTACAGAACATATAATGCAGATAAAACGCTTGAAATGGTGTAATTACTTAGTTTGTCCAGCAGAGCGCGCTCCATTGTTTGCTACTGGCGACCTGGATGAAACGCTTTAAAGCTTAAGTCAATGGAAAACCATTGCAACTTTGAACGGCCATATCTCCGTAACGGCGCGGCGAATCCGCACCAAATTCGGGGGATCTCTTCAGTTCAAGGAACCCTCTCGAACGCGAATCGAGTGTACGTCGCGAGGCCCTCTTTCGAATGAGACCACCCCCGTGTGGATAGCCCCTGGGGTTCAGGAGTTACGGGTGGTTAAATTTGCGGTCCGGCGCCGACCGATCTAGCGATCCCGGGGGGCTACCGACGCGCGGAGGGTGGCGTTCGAGAGGGCTCCTCGAGCTACACGAATGGGAAAGTGTCCAAACTTTTGACTGGTACTGTACTATAATATACACAAAGAATATCAGTCGATATATCGGTATCGGCCTTTTTTTACTCCCTAATATCGGTATCGGTATCGGCCCCAAAAAACCCATATCGGTCGCGTTCTAGACTAAACATCCGAAGGTAAGTTAAAAGAAAGTTCAACTTTACAATCCGTATCCTGTCTCATGTAGTCGCTCAATCAGTGTTTCAGCCGCGCAAAGACGTCATTATAACCACTTGTAAACAATGTAACGTAACGTCACATTTACCTCAGAAAAAAAACATATTTGGTGACTATAAACTCATTATTCAGATAGAAAAATAAACTGTAGAGAGGGGCATTTTGTTAAATATATGCACCATATAACATATTCATTATACATTTGACTGTTCTTCAATGTTTAATTTATGTTTGAATAAATCCATCAAGTTTTTATGACAGCCACCTTTATGTTTATATTTCCAAAAAACAAATTGAAGTAGAAATATTATTATGTAATTAAAATTAAATGTCATTAAGTGAAATTAACAAATCAGTTCATTTTAACCTTCAATATTATAGTAATGTAGTACCAACTGACTCTCATGTATATTTTACAGCATTAGTTGAGAGATTTTTTTTCCTTGAGAAAATTTGGTATGTACTGTACCTGATATGTATCCAAATTAATCGATATTGAATCGAATCGCAAGCTTGTGAATGAGAATCGAATCGAATCATGAAATTTGTCAAAACCCAGCCCTACTGTTGACTTTCCATAGCAGTGAAATTTGTGTTGTCTAAATGCATTATAAAAGGTGCCCTCTGATGATAATTGCTATTGAATAATGTGCTAGTGCTTAAAGTTGAAAAGTTAGTCTCTATAGGCATGTTGGCAAGAGTCTAATATGTGCATGGCAATAAGTGAGAAATACTGCTTTTTGTTTTTGTTACTTACATGAGAGAGCAGTGAAGAAACAGACTTGTACAAAAATGCAGAGTGGGACATGTCCCAAATAAGCTAAGAGGAGGGGAGCTTGTTGTTATTTGAAAATGAAGAGTAGGACATGTGGTGGTTTGACTGAAAAACAAGTCTGTAATTAAAATTGGTTGTACGGTTTCTTTAATCATTGGATCAGTGGCTCGCAACCAGGGAGCTGGGGATCTCAGCAAACATCCAAGCGGGATAGAGGATGACTTTAAAATATTTAAATGAATAAATTGTTATTAATATACTAGTGCTGGGCGGTATACCGGTTCATACCGAATACCGGTGTTTATTTTTGTTATGATATGAATTTTTTAAATACTGCAATACCGGTGTATGTCACTTAAACAACGTTCGGAACGCGACACTGTTTGAAAGTGGTGTTGGCCGCACCGCAGCCGTCTCGTCAACAAATGAGTACAAAACAGCGTTTCCTAGCATCTGTCGCTTACTGATTGTTTGGAATTATAAATATGAGAGTAGTTCGTATGTTAATATCACGCACTTTTTTGTTTGTTGTTTTTTTTAGTTACTCAGACGCAGGCAGTGCGCTGCATGAGACAAAAAAGTAATATAGCCAAAACAACCACATAGCCGCTCTTTAGTGTTAGATGCATGTTGATTTTATCAGACGATGCCGCGATTATAAATGAGAGTGACTCCTGGTTAACGTATTAAAAGGGGTTGTGTTTAGTCACTATTTAGTGGTATTTTTTTGACAATATTCACTCATCATGACAGTAAAATAGGGCATTCTAAGTCAATATACTGCAGTATTTCCTCTCTCAATCAGTAGAAAATATGGTTAACATCCGGTCATGCATGAAAAAAAAAAAATACCGTCATGTACCGTGAAACCGGTATAATTTTGAAAAATACCGTGATATAAATTTTTGGTCATACCGCCCAGCACTATAATATACTAAAATAATCTAACTAATCTAAAATGCTAAAAAAGCATAAATATGTTTTTACTTATCACTACTGTTTTGTTTTTTTGAAGAAGAAGAACATGCAGTTCTTGAAACTGGAATCACAAAATGAATTGTGGTTAATAAATGTAAAATAAGAATACTTTCAGTTTCTGCAAATAAAAAAGTTAACAAGCAAGAAAACGAGCAGCTATGTCATAATTACAGCAGAAATACAGAAAATCTTATATGGGGCATTCGGATATTGTATTGGACAATGTAGGGGCCTTCAAGTAAATAAAGGTTAAAAGCCACTGCTTTTGACCAACTTTAAAAATTAACTTGAAAATTTTTTTTATTACATTTTTTGTTCTGCCTGTGTTTACATTAACGTAAGACTTAACCGACTGTATTTAGATCAAAACCTTCTCATTACAGACAGCTTGACTGAATTTTGAAATGTATTTGGCTGTTAATAATTCGCATTAGTCACATCAGTTACAGATATGTTAGTTAGTTTATAGTATAATAGATGTTTGATACCAAAGTTCTGGTACAATTAGGGTTGGGTACCGTTCACATTTTAACCGGTACAGTACCGGTATCGGTACCTGAATTTCGGTGCCGGTACCTAACGGTGCCTTTTTTCGGTACTTTACTCTGTGTAATTACAAAAACATTTATTTCAGTAAAAAAAATAAGTCCAAAAGTCTCAATTTCAACATTTTGAACAATAGGGCCCTACAAACTTTTTTTTTCTTTTCCCCCAGAAATTCTTGTTTGAATTTTTCCGAAAATCAAATGAAGGCATTAAACATTTATTTTAAATCAAATGAAAATTAAACCCTTTTATTTTTTGGCAAACAAACTGAGGTTTACTGTTGAAATTAATGCATGGAAGAAAAATTGTGTGAATATTCCTTTAAAACATTTTTAATAGGCTAATAATTGTATTATTTTTTTCTACAATGAAGTAATTAATCTGGTTGTAATATTTATTTTTATAATTTAATTGTTTTATTTAAATTTGATAGAAAATGGAATATTTAAAGATGTACATTATACTGTACAAAAGTAATACAAGAGTAATATATTTCTGTTACATGTTAAACCGTACTTTTATATTGACAGGTTGCCATGAAGTTTCTGTGTGCATACAGTATGATGATGCTAGTTTTCTAACTGACAATTAGGCAATATCGTGTTCATTATTGCAGGCGATTCTGCAATAATGAACACGATATTGCCTAATTGTCAGTGAACTACGGCTCTGTGTAGTAAATGCTGCTCCATCTGAAAGCACGTGCTGGAGATTTACTACTAATCACGGAACCGGCTTTACTGACGAGATGCGCATGACAATCGTATGCGATTAATTGCACAGCCCTAGAATGGACTCCACGATCCCGTCCGCGTTTTCGCAGAAACCATATGGCCTTAGAAATGTAACCACACTTCAGAACATTTCGGCTTGCCCTGTGTGTTGTTTGAACGAGTTGCAGGGGTGACCTCACGTCACAGGGTCTCTTTCTCTCTCTGTAGCATATGCGCCCAGATGTGTTCTCAGGTACCGAAATTTGGCACCGATTGATTTAACGTGAATCGATTGATTTAACGTGAATTGGTACTCGGTAGTACCGACGCAATTCGGTCGGTACCCAACCCTAGGTACAATGAGGTAAATTTGAATTCACTTGAATATCCAAAAAAGGCTATACAGTGTGGCTATTTAGCAAAAGTATTCACAACAAAATTTGTTGTGAATGTCCAGTGAACATGACTGTATTGTGGGTAGTTTTCATTTAATAATGCCCATTTTTCAGATTTTCAGATCCCTAGGTTTAGTGTGTTAGGTTGATTACAGCGTTTTCAGATTCACACACCCAAAATAAAATTTCAATTTAAAGCATGAAATGTGGACTTTAGCAGAGGGAATGGGCTGGTGGCCCAGTAGGCTTTAACAGGTGGCCAGAAGCAGGACTTGCAGGTGTAGCAGGGGGAGACGGGACCTGTGGTGGCTACAGAAGCAGAAACAGGTACAGGAGCGTGAGGAGGGGGACAAGACCTGTGGTGGAGGACGTGAGGTTCAGCAAGGTAGTCGGCAGAAGTCGTGTGCGCCCGTCTCTCCGGGTGCTTTTGTACATTCTGTGCTCGAGCGTGTGTGAGAATTTGCTCAGAGTCAGATGATGATATTTTCCCTGTCAGTGAGCTATGTGTGCGCCAGAGCTTTCTTTCTGTCTGTTTATGTGTGTGTGTGTGTGTGTGTGTGTAAAGACAACACAGTCAATGATATTTTCACCACCACTGAGCCTCCCCTTCAGCGCCCCCTCCCCTTCCCTCCCCTCCCCAACTTCAGAATGCTGCACTGGGCCTTTCTGGCCTCTCTCTCAGATGTGGCATTAACATTTTCATTCAGAATTGATTTCTAATGTTTTATCTTCATCAGTGTCATTTTTGGCATTGAACAGGTTCTGGTAGTCCCGACCTACGACACGCTCCGCAGCAGGTGTTTTAGTGGATGATGTACAAGAGATCAGTTTAGCCCTGATGTTCATGTCCTGCTTCAGTTTCCATTGAATGGAGTAAATATTTGATTGCTCTTCACAGGTGGATGAATACCCGACTGAGTATAGGGAAGAGCAGACTGACCGACAGGAAGTGCCTGAGGAGGAGGAGCATGAAGAGGAAACTGAGGAGCAGGACAACTCTCAGGTCACAGAATTAGAGGAGGTAAAGATTGGCTGCTTCAGATAATGTTTGCTCCTATCTTTCATGAAGATGCTTAAAGTCACAACGTGAGTCTGAGGTTTTGTGTGTGCTCTATGCTTCAGGTGGAGAATGAAAACGATCCAGAAGCTGAGGCTGAACCGGACGCCGATGTGAAGGAGGAGTCTGATGAGGAAGAGGAAGATATTGAAGAATCTGGCCGTCTGCGATTTAAGACCGAGCGCAAAGATGACACAGTGGTCAGACTGTCTGATGCCACCAGTAAAAGGAGGAACATCCCAGACACATTAGGTTAGTCATTAACAAATGAAGCAGCTTTTTGTGCTGTTATAGGTTTAAAAATGTCATATAGTTATGTTTTGAGGCACCTGACAATTATTCTGAATGCTACAGTTTTTTTTACAGCATTTGTGAGTAAAATTATGTAGTATTTTTGTGATTTGGCCACACCACTGTGACTGACTATCCTTAGATTTGATTAGGCCATCATGGCCCATCCCTACACTTAACTGTCTTCTTTTCAGTCAGTAAGGCGGACCTACTGGGTTACGTAGCATAAATAATTACATAACGCAAGTAATGTTCATGAGCAAAGCCTTTCTATTTTTGTACAGATTTACCAGTATATTTTTATTAATTTGTTCAGAAGGTGATCAGTGAAGGCTGTTGTTGTTTTGTAAAAGGTTAACTGAAAATATTATTTGAGCGTTATCTATTGTCCCCCCTTTTATTTATTTTATTTATTTATTTTTTTTTAACTGTTTTTGAAGTAATTTGAAATTTGGTGGTTAATATTGTGACAGCAAAATTCCCAACTTAAAAAAAAAAAAAAACTCACTGTCTACCAATGTTATGTAAGTGCATATAATAAAAATTTTTATTACATTAATATTAGTTTATTATGATTATCCTAAGCAGGACAAAAAATGCTAAAGTGATCCTTCATAAGAACTAGTAGATAAGCTGTCTTAAACAATCAACAGCTTAATTTTTCAGTATCTAATAGGGGTGGGCGCTATACCGGTATGAACGTGACTACCGGTATTATATTGTTCCATGATATGGATTTTGCTATACCGTGGATACAGTTATATATTCATGCTAAGATTCACAAATACCAAAACAACGTGTCTACAGCAGCCGCGAGTGGCGCAATGTGACAAAAGCAAATAAAACCCAGTGATGTTCTCTGCTGTGGATGCGGCGCGATGTGACACGACAAATCCATGACAGATGCCCCGTTCTATTTCTGACGAACTCCAGCGCTCTGACATAAAGAACAATTTCAAATATTCATAAGAGAATCGTGAAAAAATCGTTTCTTCAAAAATATTAAGCAGCACAAATGTTTTCAACACTGATAATAATGAGATCAGCATATTAGAATGATTTCTGAAGGATCATGTGACACTGAAGACTGGAGTAATGATGCTGAAAACTCAGCTTTGATCACAGGAATACAGTAGCCTATATGTTAAAACAGGGGTCTCCAACCTTTTTTACACCACGGATCGGTTACGTTTGGAAAATATTCTCACGGACCGGCTGGATGGGTGTGTGTGTGTATATATATATATATTATTAGTGGTCGACCGATATTGGTTTTTTGACAGCCGATATCTTGGAAAGCAGGGTGGCCGATGGCCGTCCACCTGTCTGCATTCAATTCACACGGATCGACTGTCACGCAGAGAACACGCGATCATGCAGGATGCAAATGCACACTTCACACGATCTCAAAACTGGATCCGACTAAGTTTGCAAGCTTTGTGAAATTAAATGTTCATTAGTCATTCAAAGATTTGTTTAAATTACAGAATAATTAGAACAATCATTAACATAAATAACAGAGTGTCATATCTATACACATTTTTCCCAGAACGTCCTTGCGACCCGGTAGCAATTCTTCCACGGCCCGGTAGTGGGTCGCTACCCGGTGGTTGGGGACCTCTGTGTTAACACATTCAAATAGATCATCTAAATTGACAATATTTCACAATATTACAGAAATAATATTGCCTCGAAAATATTTTTCACTACAAAAGGGGGGCCTGGCAGAAAACGTTTGGGAACCACTGGCCTACTCAAACACACAATATTTAATTTAATTTAATTCATACAGGCCTACCTGTATACGCGATGGAGATTTACCGCTGATTACAGAACCGGCTTTACTAACAAGATGCATTAAATATCGCATGCGATTTATCGTGCAGCCTTACCTTTTTTTTTTTTTTTTTTTATATATCCTAATTCTTTATAGGTCTGGGCAGTATGACGAGATTCCATATATCATGGTTTGCTATATCATTTATGTTGCAGCATGTAAATATACCCACGCAGTTCAGGACTGCTTACAGTTGCTTACAGTTGCATGAATGAGAAAATCAAAATCGGGATTTGCTTGATGTTAAAAATAATTATTAAATGCTATATAAGCCAAATAAACACATTACATAAACACAAACACAAGAGTCTGCTGAAATTAAGTTCTCTTTCACAGCTTATTACATTTAAATCAAATACAGGTCAAGGTCAAATACAGACAAAATAATTAAAAAAAAAACCTTTGAGTATTCACATAAAACAGTGCATTATGTTTTAAGTTAATGTAAACAGTTGGGAGAAAATGGGATATGTATCATATATTGAATCTATAGCTACAATCACACTGTAAATTTTTGGGATTGACAACAGCATTTACTTACAGGTGTGAGTCTTGGAATGTCCAGTCCAGTTCACATATCAATTTACAGTAGCGTCTCAAATACTGTCGTGAACGTGCAACAGGAGTCAAGCCCGTATTCCTTAACAGTAACTATAGCAACAGTGACCGAAGTAATATCAAAGATGGCGATGTCCATAAAACCGAAAGTCTTTTCACTGATTTCTGACACGACAAGAGTCCAATCGAGCCGCGACTTCCATCAAATTTTCATTAACCGGCGACCGCTTTTATATTTGATTGGAGAGCGGAGCATGCAGAACACAAAAACTAATAGAAGAAAAACTGACTGGATCTATAACTTTTAGATGACACACAGCTAATTTTATCGAAACCACACATGAAAACACGCAACACATGGTAGACACGTGTTTGCGCAGCAGAGCGGCTCTCTCTCGCACTGTATGACGTGACCGACAACTAGTTGTCCAGTCCTGTTCTGGTAACACAGCACATGTTTTCCGAGAATGCGGTTGTGAGTCCTAAAAATATACAGGTGTGAGTTCGGTTATAGAATATGGTTGTCACGTCCGTAAATAACCATACTGTGAACGTAATAGGGTTGTGACGGTGAGGAAATTTTCCCACCGGTTAATCGACGTGTGACAACACCGGTAATACCGGTATCACCGCGGGGGCGGGGCGTTCCCTCTTTTCCTCTCTTTCCTTCGCTTTTAAATAGCTTAAAAGCAGGCTTTTCAAAATCCAAAATATTGCCAAACAGGCGCTTTTGCATCTCGTTTCGAAACTAAATCATCTGCCATCGTCTTTTCTGTCTCACCTCACCTCACTCTTCTTGTCAGTCAGCTCGACTCACTCTCCTCACTGGATAAATTAAATCTGATCTGTGATGCGACTGTCGTTCGGTATGCTGCATTGAGCAGCCGCGTTCAGTTTTTAATTGTAGTGTCTGTTCTTTTACTGAACTAAATGATTTTTATTACTATAAAAAATCAAAACGACGGTGGGGGTCGGTGCCGCGGTGGGCAAGTGACGTAACCGGTGTTGCGGCTTAACACCGTCTATCGCGGCAAGCCTAGAACGTAACCATATTTAAGGACTCAAATACAGGACTGACAACCGTATTCTGCTGCTGTGTGAACGTGGCCTGTATGTATGGGTATGCTGAATCTGAAAATCCGAAATCAGAAAGAGAAAATCACTCACTGCTCTTGACTGAGTAGCTTTATTAAGAATCAGTGTACATTTAATCCTAGAGATGTAAAGATTCACTCATATCACGATTTGATTTGATTCACAATTTTGATTTCACAATTTGATTTTCTCACGATTTTTTTTTTCTTTCACAAAATGAGATTGAAGACATTATACAGTAAATGAGAAGGTGTCCTTTTATTAGGCTATTGCTGCACATTTCTTTGTGAAATTGAAATATAACAAAACTAAATTGAAATTTAAAAACAAACCCCAAATCAAATAACCAAGTTACACAAATAAACGAAATCTCTTCATATAAACAAACTGAGGCTTTGTCTGTGCTCTTTCCATTTAAAATTAGAGGCAACCACTGCATTTTAATCATCATCCAAACAAAGATGCTGCATACATGCAACATGAGCAATTTTTAATCTAAATTAGACTGTATAATTTCAAAATTTGAAGCAAAAACAGAATGGTCTGACTTTAGTTTTGTGAAACTATACTACATAAAACGTGAACGAACCGGCAGACGAGCTGAATGAGACGCAAATTCACCCTCTGCCAGCAGGTGGTGCTTATTAACAGCAATGATATAGTGTTTCCTGGGTTACCTTTGTAAACAAAGCAGAGCTGTGCTTATGAACACTACTTTAATTTGCATCGTTCAGAGGTAAGATGAAAAGAAAATACCACGTAAACTTTTCTAAAGACAATCAGTTCCTCTCAGATATAAACTCCTACTGGCGATTTGTTTGGCATCTCAACCGATTTGAATCATCACATTTGAATCGATTTTCAACCGGCTCGCGGTTAATCGTTACATCCCTATATCATTCATACAGTGAGTGCTATGCATTGTTTTATTTTTACATTTGGATATGCAAATATATTCCACAGTTATAGAGGACATGAAAATGTACCCCATTGTGGTTTGGATTTTTTTTGCCAGTCTTGGGAGGGTAGTTGTGACGTTGCTCAAGATTTGGGAAATCAAAACAGTCTACTGGGAGAGCAGTATCTGAATCGCTTGATGGTGAACTGAAGAAGAGAGGAGTACTAGTTTTCAGCTATTTATATTCATATTACTTTATTATTTACAAAAAAACTAGGTAAATATATGTAAAATGCTTGCAGGAAGTCAGAAACCAGGCTCTGAACTGAAGTCAGATTATTTAAACATGCACACAAATGGCAGTTTTTTCCTCAACAATATATGGTTGTATTGTATTCATCAGTTTCGATGACTATGCAAAACTGTGCTAAAGCATGTGAACTAAACACAACATGTAGTACTTAAAATTTCCCAGCATTGGCAGACCTGCAATATTAATGTTTTACAGCATTTTGGATCAAATAAATGCAGTCTTGGTGATCATCTTACTGACCCCAAACATTTGAAAAGTAGTGTATAAACAGTAACATTCTTTACAACAGTTAGTAGTGACTTTTCTGTTTGCAAACATGAATTTTAACTTCCCTGGTGGTCAAGCAGTTCTCTTGCGATTGGATTGTGCCTTTTGTGGCTATTAAAGATTATGCATCAGTTTTAGATGATGGTGTGTTGACTTGTGTCTTGTCTTGTCGCACCCTTGTGGAGTGGCGTCAGTTTGCTTTTGAGTAAGAGTCAATTATCACCGTTCTCACTCCCTCTTATCCATGTTGATATATGGATTATGGCAAATAACTTGGCGGGAGTCCATTGAGGAAGCATTACACCAAATTAAATTTGTACTTTGCTGAAGGATTTAGCTTCCTGCGCTTAATTTATTATTAAATATCTGTCGAGGGTGTAATCCCTTTGCGCTTGAGCTGTTCGTTCGTGCTGCACCTTTTTTTTTCTCGCTTTTTAAAGCTGATTTTCTTTTATAGAGAAGGCAAGCCTTTTCAGGCTTTTGACATAACTTGTCATTCCTCGACATTGATGTGTTCTTTTACGTTACGCTTCAGACAGCGGTATATACAGATAGCAGCACTTCCATAATGATTTAATTGAATTCCCCTCCACCCCTGACTATGAGTACAAGTTGTCTTCATCTGATGATGAGTTAATAAATCTAGTATATATGCTTTTCTGAAAGAGACTGCAATGTGTATTTCTGAGTTTAAGGAGTCAATCCTTCAGTCATCATTTGAACTAGGATATTGTCCTTTAGCATAATCAGTGGGGACACAGAGGCACAATGCATGTTTTTTAAGAGGGTACTTAAACATTTTGTATTCCTCCTAAACTCCTCATTTAATTCAGATTCACTCCCAGTCACATGGCTCTTATGATTGATTACTTGATTAAAGGGGTCGTCTTGAGAGTCAAGGTCACAACACTACAAGATAATGATTTTTTTGGGGGTGAAAGAGAAAGAGCTTATGCTATTGATTGATGTTTCTCTCTCTTTCTTTTTTTAAAGCAGCAGCTCAGAATGACTCCTCCGCTTCAGCATTACCACCATCAGTCTCGTCTGCCTGGTCCGAGAGGCAGTGGAGGTCCCGGGCTATTCCCGGATCCAGGTACCCCAATTCCTCAGCAGCCGCTGCAGCTGATGATGCCTCGCCTCGCCCACCATTCCCCAGGGCCCAGAACACAACACGACACACACGTACCATGCTTGTTGAACTCGCCGCCGCGGCACTCACGCGCACATCCCAACCAACACCAGCAGCATCAACAGCATCACCCCAAGAACATTCACATCAACCCTCACTTCAGAGGACCCTCCTCCTCACCTGTGCAAGGTACGGCCCCAGAGACCACCACCCTGATTTTTATATACTTGGGTGAATGAAGGCTGTCTAAGTATCTGCTCTAAGATATCTTTGCAATTGTAAAGTGCCTAGCCGCTCATGAATCAAGATTGTCTTGGTATTTGCACATAATAGTTACTCTGCAGTAAAAACATACAAGAAGTTTCAGAACTCAAAACTAAATCCCCATTTCAAAATATGAAATATTCTTTTCTAGCCTTCTTAAAAGCCCAGATTTTAAATCAACAGGATTTTTAAATGTCACTATTCTCCTCGACACACCCCTTAACGTGTCATTGTCATGTCTAATCAAGGAGGTGTGTTCTAAACAACTCATATCTGTCCATCAGTTTGTCGTTAGGTGAAGGAAGGCCTTTATAAACTTTATAAACTAACCTCGGAGAAACAAAAAAAAGTGCATTTCATGATCATCATGACCTGTGATGTGTGTAATATGCAATGTTCTTTGTCCGAAGGGTTTTACTGCTGTTTATGCATTAGTGAATCAAGCCACTAAATGATTTAATCAAGACTAAATGATCAACTTCACACTGTTCCTATTTGTAGCTTGAAAACCCAGATTATTTTATAGATTATATGCAGAAAACATTCAAAGATCATTGTTTTAAAATTGTTGAAGCAGTCAATTCAAAATCAACCTATCAGTGATTTGATTTCTGCATTTTCTCCAAAACTCTTATGTGCAGACACATTTTACACTGCTCAACGAGTCTCTTATTTAAATAGTGTTTTCACTGCATTGGTTATGATGACAGTATTGGTGAGACAGCAGAAATCATGTTGCAATAAGGAGATCGTTTCATTGTGTACTCAGTAGACATGACTTTTTTTGGATACAGTGCAGTACCTTGCAGTGTAGTACCAGTTGGAATGGGAGTAGTTCTAAATATAATGCTATAATCAATCAACACTTTTCACGGTTATATAATCTTGTTGGCTGTTATAGTAAAAAATGCAGTAAAAGTTTTCAAGAGAGTTCCAATTATAATGCTCATTTCATATGCAAAGATGCCAATCACAGCAGTGGGTGGTAGCATTTAAATCAGAGGGCAAAAATCTGTGTAGAAAATGACCATTTATCTCTAAATTATGATAATTTTTTGATAAAAAAAAACACAAAAATATAAGAGATGCTCAACTCAGGAAACCATATGAAATATTTTAAGTCTGACATATCACATGTCACCATTTCCGTGTCTAAACGCTGTATTAGGTGCCAAAACAAACAGCAAACAGGGTTAATATACACTCACAGTGTGGTGTAATATTACAACAACAAAAAATAATGATCCTGACCTTTATCTTCATAGTGAAATCTCAGATGGCCAGACAGTGGCTCATTATTGGATTGTTAAAATATTGGTGTCTGGGATGCCGTGACCCTGGAGACTGTAGTGTACACTGTAATTTTTTTTTAAGCTTAGCTTAAATCTGACACCATGATTAAATAGTGCTCATAAATGGCTGTTGACACGGTATTCTCAACTGAAACGAGTACAGGCTTGGACCCGGAAACAGTATTCCTTACGTCACGACTTAACAAGCATATTCCCTGTTCATTTTTAGGCTTTGCACTTTTCACTGATGCTTACTCGCATTCTCACTCAAGTCCTTCTAAGAGTTTTTTTTTTTCTCCTTTGATATGGCCTTCACTCTGTTGGCAGTCCATCAGCATTAAACCAGCTTTCTGAAATGCACACATCTGCGGAGGTGAAATTATTCACAGCGAAATTACTCCTTTTGACTGTCAGTTTATCTCATTAGGTGGCCCAGTCTGCTTGAGAGAGAGATGCACAGTTTAATCAGCAGAACAGCCCTCTCTCTGTGACCAGCTGTGACAAACCATGGTTTAGACACGTGGCAAGAAGAGACTTCTATGGTGTCTGTGTTACGCCGCCCCACTCTCTCGTTCTGCATCCCTTTTTCTGTCTGTCTGACTCGTGCTTTTTCTATTTCCATTTAATCTCAGTTCCCTCAATGCCTCATGTGCAGAACCAACCGAGGCCTAACATCGCTCCACAGAGACTCCCGGTAAGTAACCTCACGTTGCTTAAAGTTAGAATTAAGTGATTTCACTCTGCATAACACTGCGGTGTGTTACGGTCGAGACATCATGGTATTTCTTGGTTTGACTGGAATGTAGCCACCGAAAGCAATATTTGTCTTGCTGTGTGGATGGCATGTCTCTAGAAACCTAAAAACATCCTCATATGTTGGTTGAATATGCAAGTTGAAATCGAAATGGAGACCGTGAAAACACAGAACAGATGTAAAAGCCCTTTACTTGCCTGTAAGGATGTAGAGGAACCATCAAGCAGCTGCCCATGCTGTGGCTAAAGTGATTACTGCCGAGGAGGAGACCTTCTCAGCCACCCCAAACTCTGTTTCCCCAGTTCTCTTCTCTTTCCTCTCCGTTAAAAGTACTTTGATTTTCCCTTTTAATATTGCTGTCTAAAGGATGTATAGTTTAGTGTTTCAATCTGGAATATGGCAGTGACAGGAGTGCTGTGGGTAACACTTTACAATAAGGTTCCATTAGTTAATGTATTTAACTAGCATGAACAAACAATGAACAATACATTTATTACAGTATTTATTAATCTTTGTTAATGTTAGTTAATGAAAATACAGTCGTTCATTGTTAGTTCACAGTGAATTAACTAATGTTAACAAGCACAGCTTGTGATTTTAAGAATGCATTAGTAAATGTTGACATTAACATTAACTAGGATTAATAAATTCTGTAGAAATATTGTTCATGCTTAGTTCATTTGAACTAAAGTAGTTAACTAATGTTATCTAGTGAACCTTATTGTAAAGTGTTACCGTGCTGTGTAATGCTACATTTAAAGTTTTAATCTAAAACTGTTGTAAACAACATTTTTCTAATTTGTATGTAATTAAGACTACATGGTATATTTCAGCTTTTAAACATTATCACACCACCAAAAAAAGGGCAATCAAAATGGGATCAGTGCTTAAACAGTAAATTACATGGAATAAAACTTGATGTTGGGGGGAAAAAAAACATTTATTACATTTTGATAATCACTGGGATCAAGTCATTTACAAACAGTGTTAGATAGGAAACTCAAGACTCAGACATAAACTTTTACTATTAACAATTATTATTTCCCAAATTGTTCATCTTGTCAGAATCCACTGTCTGTTAAACATATTTTGCTGGATTGTAATACTTTTACTCCTTTGAGACACTTGTTTTATTCTATTAATACTTATGAAAAGTTTTTTAACCAAGTAAATCCAAATTTCGTCTTAAAGGGGTTATATGATGCGATTTCAATTTTTCCTTTCTCTTGGCACCACAGTATGATAAGGGCGTAACATTTTCGTCACACGCTTGAGGTATTCGGCCAATCACAACGCACTGGATAGCTGGCCAATCAGAGCACACCTCGCTTTTCAGACCGATGAGCTTTGTAAAAATCGACATGTTTCAGAAAGGCGGGGCATAGAGGAGAAACAATAATGTACAGTATGTGGAAAATAATGTTTTTTGAACCTTAAACCGCATAAACACATTTCATTACACCAAATACACCAAATAATGTTCTTTTTAGCAGCATCATATGACCCCTTTAAGGTTTTCAGAAAAAAAATTATCTTGAACATTTTATTTATTTTTCGTTTGGAATAACTAAACCTAACTCTCACCATGAAGCTGCAATGGTGTTAAAAAAAGGAAGAAAAAAAAAGATGACACAGCAGAACGATTTAACTGCAAAAAATGAGTCAAATCACCTAAAATATACTCTTTCTATTATGAATTTGAATCTAAATTCCTGATTGAAAAGGGAAAGTTCATGTCCATGTTATTCGTCACCTACTCGTGCACTGTGGCCCCTTGTTTGGACACATTGTGGACACCTAAAATGATTGGTCGTTCCTAATCTTGCTGAATAGGTGTGAAGTTCCACACACACATTTATGACACACTTCCAGCTGTCTGTCTCCCATAGCCAGTCTGGTACAGACAGGACACCATTTAAAATGCCAATGGCATTTTGCAGAGAGCGGCGTTCATTAGCCCTCTGGGCACTTGATTATCATACATTAGCATATGATCACATCTCATCTTACAATAGGCTGATCCACAATTTCTCTATGAATATTTACTACTGCAGAGTTTTTGAATATTAATCTCCATACTACATATTTATATTGTATTTTATGTTTGATACTGGTCGTAGAAAGTATTATAAAGTATCATAAAACTCTTTAGTATTAAAAAAAAAAAAACATAGCTTGGCTTCATTTTACAAGATAGTAGAAGTTTAAGTTAGGTTTTCGTAATAACATTTATTGCATAATTAGGCATTAGTTGGATGGATAAATTAGTACCAATAGAAGGATATGTCATAAAGTAGTACCAGTAGAAGGATTTTTGTATATATACGTTTTTATAAAAAACACTTGTAGAAATATAGAAAGGAATATGTTTAAAAATATAAGAGAATTTTCGTATTTTATGTTTTGTGTGTATATCTGGGTTGGAAATGAACAGGGGCGTGGGGCAAAAATACTACCAAACTGGACAAAAATCTACTTTCTTTCTGTATATAATTTATTCACTGTTAAAATTTTATTTTTATGCTGCTAAGACAACAATGTGAAATCTAGATTTTCTAATTCGTAAAAAGCATAAAATTAATTTAGAAATGGTTCTTAGTTTGTTTTGTCTGTGTTGCCAGAATGTGAAGAGCCGTTTCCCCAAATACAAACTTGCTTTTTGTGTTTTATTATTCAAAATTAATAAGCAGCATTAAACAATCTGTGTAAACAAACATAAATGCCATGTCAGATGCTGATGATGCTTGATGTTGATGATTTCTTTTTTTTTGGTAGCCGGGGTAGTGTTCTGAATGATTGAAGTGCGTAAATTTAGGTATTTGACATAAAAGGCAACAAAGATTGATCTGTGAGAATTTGTCAGATAACTGAATGGCAGAAATGAATAGGTTGCCAAGTGTGTTTTGAGACACATGAGGCTTGTCTCCAAAATGGCAGCAGCCCGTGTTTGGCATTTGTCTTTCCCACTCCCTCTCTATCTCCCAGGCAGATCATAACTGGTTACATATTGAATAGATCCATGGGTATTTACGAAAGATTAGCCCCCCGAAAGGACATGCTGCTTTTATCAAACGAATGCAAACTTGCAAAGGTATTGTGAATGTACTTAAGCTCCCATTGTGTTACAGGAGCTGACCTTTTGAATAGAGCAATAAAGTCCACAATAACAATGTGATTCTCTCTCGCTCCCTCCTGGCCGTTGCTTAGTTAAGCTGCCTGATTGACTTTCTGTTAAGCAACTTGGCTGGCCTTGGTGACACTCACTGGCCGACTGAAGATCAGAGCTGAAAACGTGGATTAAAAGTTTGATTGCATCTTAAAACATTTATAATGAGTAAAGAGGTGCTAAGCATCACAATGTGCTGGAGTGTGGCCCTTTTGAATGAAGGCTAATTTCTTAAGAGCGAAGGATATTTTTAAAGAATAAAGGAGAGGGGATTCGTATTCAACTGCAGGATTAGTAAGGATCGTTATCTTTCTTTTCTCTGGAAAGGTAGAGGGGGGATTTTGAGTTTTATGAGCAATGGGTTAGGTAAGGACTGAGAACGGATAAAGATTTCTGTTCAAGGGTGTATGCAAATCGTTGTCTTTCTGCCTAAAAGATTCCTCAGTGGTATAAGCTGATGGTTATGATCTTAATATGAAGAGTTACATTTTAAATTAGAAGATAAGGATCACAAATAATAAGCGTTTTAGCTTTGAAAATCATGTCAACAATAATATTTTGGTGCTGGAATAGTCATAATATTTTCTGTGGAGTCAGTGTGATTTTTGCTGTTGTCTGTCCTCCTCCAGGCTCCTCCTGATTTCCAGCAGCATCTCCAAGGGAATTTTGGCCCACCTCAACGGTCTCTGCCCCCCCAGGATCAATGGAGAGGACCACCACCACATCATCAGGATCCAGAGCACTTCTTCCCTGGTGGTAAGGTCAAGTTAAGATGGTCACACTGGTTGCGTGCATAAACTATACCTGCATGGTTTTAAATATCTGTTTTGACTTTTGTTATTCCATCCGGTCATTTACCAGCAACTGAAGCAGTCAGAATTGATGCTGAAGGTATCTGGCTTCTCTTTTATTCCTTTCTTTTCTCTTTTCTAGAACCACGTTTTTCAGGCCAGCACATGTTTGACCAGCCAGGCCCTGCCCCCCTCATGAATAACAGTGTTCTTTCGATATCGGGCCACGGCCCTCCATCGTTCCCCCCGCAAGCGGGGCTCGGAAGTCCTGGATTTGGTTCTCTGGGGCTCAGGCAGAACCAAGGGCCTCAGGGAGGAGGTATGTTCCAGAGAGAGCCCCCTCGGCTGGGTCTGGCCCTGCAGCATGGATGCCCTCCAGGCCCCTCTGGTCCCCATGGCTTTGTGGGTCACAGACAGCCCTTCTCGCCCCAACAGCAGGGACCCCCCTTTAGCCCCCAGCACGTGCAATTTGGTATGCAGGTACGCCAGAGAGTAAGTCAGTTTACCAGAATCTGCATGGCCTTGCTGGCGTGTTGAACTCTGCATGTTAATTTACAGCATGGCATGGAACTAGCATGAAAAATATATTTAAAATATTGGGTTTTCAGTGTCTTTTATTTAGCATTTAATGTGCATTTTCACAGTCCTGGAATTTAGTAGGAAATATGGCAGATTTAGACTCCTGTTCAAAAGCTTGAGGTTTTTTAATGTATTTTTAAAATATTTTTGAAAGTAGTCTTGTGCTCTCCAGAGCTGCATTTATTTAATCATACATACAGTAAAGCAGTAATATTACAAAATATTGTTTCGATTTAAAATAACTTTTGTATTTAAAAAAAAAAATTTAAGACAATTTATTCCTGTGGTAAAAGCCGAATCTTTAGCAGCCACTACTCCAATCTTTAGAGTCACATGATCATTCAGAAAACAGTGTTTATTTTTTCAAGATTATTTTATGACTAAAGATTTAAAAAACAGCATTTAGTTGAAATTTAAATGTTTCCTAACATTATAAATGTCATTACTGTCACTTTTTAATCATTTAATTTGTCCTTACTAAATAAAATAATTAATTTCTTTAAAAAAAAAATCTTACTGACCCCAAACTTTGTGAACATTCGTGTATATGACAAAAAGACAAACCTAAGGTGTTTTGGCTTGGTTGGAAACCATTGTAAGCCATGTAGGTGTAGTGGTCGACTGTGCAAGGAGAAGCTGCTGTCGTCATTTTAAGCAGCAGACAAGACTGCCCTCTTGTGTTAGCACTGTTTGTCAGTTCATGGTTATTTGAGGTCACTGGGTTAGTTGTTACACATCAGAGGTCTAGCTTTCTTTCATGAAAATATTTCCTCTTGATTGTCATCGAGCACAGCTTGGTATTCTTTTTTCTTAACTTGATATATAAACTGGTTTTAGCTGTAAGTTCAGTTAATTGTGACAAATTATTTGTCTGTAAGACTACTGAAATATTATACAGGGCTGACTTCTAGAGTACTCCCATTCTCAATCACGACTGGCCTATATTTCAGTGTAAATGTCCTCATTTTGGCTGTATTCTTTGTGTTTTGTGGTATTCAGGGTCTAATGCAACAGCCCCTGCACCATGATCTGCCACTATCCCATCAACCCTTGCACCAGCAACAGCAGCACCAGCAACACAGACAGGACTTGCCCCCCCAGGGTCTGCCTCACTCCCAGCCTCCACCCCAACACCAACAGCACCACCAACACCACCCAAGGGACCAAGATCCCATGGTGCACCTCTCCCAGCCCCACTTCCGCCAGTCGATTCAGAGTGGAAACAGACAAATGCAGTCCCGACCACAAGGCAACCAGCAGCGAAACAACCATGCCAGACCCAAAATGGTTAGCCATTCAAATGTATTTGTTGCAGAGAGCAAGATGGCAAGAGAAACATTTCTTATAAATAAACATATATTTCATTCATGTCAGCTCAAAAGGTTTTGCTGTACTTCTATGAATGCCAACCCATTTATCTGACCACCTCCTCCTCTTCTTCAGACGCCGCTTCCACCACTGCAGCAGATTCCTCCTCAACGCAACAGCAATCTCCGTGAGCTGCCCATTGCCACGAGCAACAATAATAACCGCCCGTCAGTGCCTAGTGGGCAAGCAAAGCCTGTTACCAGGGCAGCACAGAATGTTAGGCAAGGGCAGGCTGCTCGTGCTGGACCAGCAGGAAGGGGAGGATCTGTGGCACAAGGGCTGGGAGCTGCCAAAGCACCAGAGCAGACCAGTGTGCCTGAGATGAAGAAAGAGGGTCCAGCTGCAGCAGAAACACGCTGTTTTTTGTGCCTGTCTCTTTAAATGCAAATGAGCTGCTGCTCCCTGCCCCCTTTTCCAGCATAGAGCTGCGCCATTACAGCAAGTACCTGCTAAAAAAACTACTGTTTTGGTTCTGATTATCATGTTTATCGCACTGAAATCATGCGTTTTAAACCATACGAGTTTCTAGATCGGTTTGGCAGAGCAATATACAATAAATAAATCCACTGCTCTGTTGTCTCTTCTGAGGCTGGGACTGTAAATAGTGTTCTGTGCTCATCTGTGCAGCCAAAGACAGAACAGTT